CACTTGAGCACAATTTTTCTTTCCATCATTCTCACGAAAGATATTAAAAAGATGAAGCATATGAGACAAACTCAATTCTATTTTTTTGTAGTTTTATTTTTATAAACTAAACTAGTGATAAAACAAGAAACTAAAATATTCGATTGCAAGATCTGAAGATATACCTTCAAGCACTCACCTTCCCGGCAACGGCACCAAAAAAGAGCTTGATGTCTACTACGCAACCTTCTCCTTGTAGACGTTGTTGGGCCTCCAAGTGCAGAGGTTTGTATGACAGTAGCAAATTTCTCTCAAGTGGATAACCTAAGGTTTATCAATCCGTGGGAGGTGTAGGATGAAGATGGTCTCTCTCAAACAACCCTGCAACCAAATAACAAAGAGTCTCTTGTGTCCCCAACACACCCAATACAATGGCAAATTGTATAGGTGCACTAGTTCGGCGAAGAGATGGTGATACAAGTGCAATATGGATGGTAGATATCAGTATTTGTAATCTGAAAATATAAAAACAGCAAGCTAACAAGTGGTAAAAGTGAGCGTAAACGGTATTGAAATGCTAGGAAACAAGGCCTAGGGTTCATACTTTCACTAGTGTAAGTTCTCTTAACAATAATAACATAATTGGATCATATAACTATCCCTCAACATGCAACAAAGAGTCACTCCAAAGTCACTAATAGCGGAGAACAAACAAAGAGATTATGGTAGGGTACGAAACCACCTCAAAGTTATCCTTTCTGATCGATCTATTCAAGAGTCCGTAGTAAAATAACATGAAGCTATTCTTTCTGTTCGATCTATCATAGAGTTCGTACTAGAATAACACCTTAAGACACAAATCAACCAAAACTCTAATGTCACCTCAAGTATTCGTGGGCATTATTATACGATATGCATCACACAATCTCAGATTCATCTATTCAACCAACACAAAGTACTTCAAAGAGTGCCCCAAAGTTTCTACCGAAGAGTCAAGACGAAAACATGTGCCAACCCCTATGCATAAGTTCACAAGGTGAACCCGCAAGTTGATCACCAAAACGTACATCAAGTAGATTACGTGAATATTCCATTGTCACCATAGATAAGCACATGCAAGGCATACATCAAGTGTTCTCACCTTAAAGACTCAATACGATAAGATAACTTCAAAGGGAAAACTCAATCCATTACAAGAGAGTAGAGGGGGAGAAACATCATAAGATCCAACTATAATAGCAAAGCTCATGATACATCAAGATCGTATCACCTCAAGAACACGAGAGAGAGAGAGAGAGAGAGAGAGAGAGAGAGAGAGAGAGAGATCAAGCACATAGCTACTGGTACATACCCTCAGCCCCGAGGGTGAACTACTCCCTCCTCATCATGGAGAGCACTGGGATGATGAAGATGGCCACGGGTGATGGATTTCCCCTCCGGCAGGGTGCCGGAACGGGCTCCCGAGAGGTTTTTGGTGGCTACAGAGGCTTGCGGCGGCGAAACTCCCGATCTATGGTTGTCCTAGATGTTTTTGGGGTATATGGGTATATATAGGAGGAAGAAGTAGGTCGATGGAGCTGCGAGGGGCCCACGAGGGTGGGGGGAGCGCCCAGGGGGGCAGGCGCGCCTCCCTGCCTCGTGGTCTCCTCGCTTCTTTCTTGACGCCCACTCCAAGTCCTCTGGATCACGATTGTTCCAAAAATCACTCCCCCGAAGGTGTCATTCCGTTTGGACTCCGTTTGATATTCCTTTTCTGCGAAACACTGAAATAGGCAAAAAACCAGCAATTTGGATTGGGCCTCCGGTTAATAGGTTGGTCCCAAAAATAATAGAAAAGTGAATAATAAAGCCCATTAAACATCTAAAACAGATAATATAATAGCATGGAACAATAAAATATTATAGATACGTTGGAGACGTATCACTGCGCCTGCGCCAAGGTAAGTTGGCGACCGGCACGGGCGCAGGTTTTTCACCGGACGCCCCCTCCATCGTTCAGTCCTCGTCCTCCGAGTTCTCTTCCGGCAACCTCAGGGGCAATCCAGCCTCTTTGTGCCGTGCATGTTGGGCCCGCCAGACTTTCGCAAGGGGCGCCATCTTGTGCTTCTACGCCAACAAGAGCCGCTTCCACAACCCATTGCCAATCACCGTTATTGTCTCGGTGGTTGTCGTGGAAGGAGGAAGGGAAGGGGAGGCGCGCCGACAGCCGTGGGCAGAGGAGGAAGGAAAAGCGGAGGTGGTGCGGCTTCTACTTTGCGTTTCGTGCTTACATATCAGGCGCCAAGCCAATGGGTGCTTCGAATGCTGGCGCTCGGAGTGGGTTTCTCGAACGTCGTGCCTGTTCAAGGGCAGGCAGATGGACGGGCAGGCGGCTTCAATGCACTAGGAAGCCGTCTCGTCACCCTGTCCGGTAGTGTTGCTCTGAGTCGGCATTGAAGGTGACACGGAGAGCGAGCGTGCGACGCTCTCCACCGGCGTGCCACTTCAATGCACGACATGTTGCAGGGCGATCCCGTCTACCCTAGACTGGCATGAATATGGCGCCTCTTTCTGAAAGAACGGTTGGAGCGGTTGCAGAACAGGTTTCTGAGTTGGACTGCTTGTCGAACGCGTACGTGGCAGAGGTTTGGACGTCTACGACATCATGTTGGATGGCAAAAAGTGCCCGGACGCGTCGTCGTTTGTGGGCATTCGGTGGCCGTGTTGAAGATGCCCTTTCATTTTGAGATTTAAGATTCTATGCCTAAATTCATGGGAAATGCTTGCCTTCAGCTTGCGGATCGCATGCGAGCGATCCGCCTCCTCCTCTGTATGACGCGTGTCCATCGTGTTTTATTTTCGCGATTTTTCTGCAACATCATTTGTGGTGTAAATTGCCTTCCGCAACAACATACATGTTGCAAAGAAAAATGAAGACGAAAAAAGTATATTTTCTGCAACATCGTCTGTGTTGCAATTTTTTTTAAAACAACAACCATGTTGCAAAAATAGTGAATGAAAAAAATTCGGCAACATCACCTATATTGCAAAAAGTTTCTACAATATAAGCTTTGTTGCAAAGGATTCTGTAACACAACTGCAATAATGAGGAAGTGTTGACGCTGGATCGAACGGACATGAGGTGGCGGATCTTTTGAAAAGATCTGTCGGCCGGCGCGTAACGTGGCCCTAAATTCATGGAGTAAAGTCTGTAAAAAAATATTTCTTTTGAAAAAATCACCTCGGTGGTACCTTGGTGGCCTCTGAGAGTGATGACATATCTCTCACTCTTTCAGCCTACTACTAGCTCACCACGGAAGCCACCCTCTGCACTCCTGAGACACGAATCAGACGGCGTCTCGTCACGCGAAAGCGACTCGTAACGGCCAGCGGTTCCACCAAACCGTGGTGTCAAAAAACTGCACCGCTCCTGTGTACGTATCATGCAGAGACAGACAGCGTGCGAGAGAGTAGACTGAGACTTGAGAGTTCGTTAGACGAAGTCACGAAGAGAGTGAGATTTGCCTGGTGGAGTCAGGAAAGTTTGACTTGTGAGTAGGGCCAGCATGCGGCGCCACGTGTGAGATACCGGCGAGCATGGCACTGCCACCTGTTCCCTGCCTCCTTGATTAGCGCGGCCAGCATGCTCGTGGCGTTGGGGTGGTCAAAAACTCAAAAGCCGGAGAGTTATTAGCGCTGGCCCTCCACGAGTCTCTCGTGGTGAGTTTTATAACGGGGCAACCTGATCGCACTGGCAAAAAACGTAACCACAGTCGCATCACATTCGAATGTTGCCGTCGCACTCGTAACGTTCGCAGTCGGATAAGTACTTGATCGCGGGAGTAGTAGTTAATTAAGTAGAGCGAAGACATTTGGCGCCATTTTAACCTTGCTGGTCGAGTCTCGGTTTCGGATTATGACGGCCACCAACTTCTGAAACGGCCCTCAAGGTCGCGGAGAGACGCACTAGCAGCAAGACAAGCTAGCTCGCCTGCGGTGAAGCAACCACATGGTTTCATTAGGATCAAAGCTTACTCCAAAGTAATCCTGCACCGTGCTTGATTGACTGGCATTTTTGAAGCATTCCGGGCAGTAGGCATCGTGCTGACTTCAGCTGCTCTTCAGATAGCGCAACGTCGTTGGTCGTTTGATGCAATCCATATACGGTATCTGAGGAATAAGCATCGGCTAACTCTGTGCCAGCAGCCGCGGTAAGACAGAGGATGCAAGCGTTATCCGGGAAATATTTTTGAAAATATTCCTTTGTATTAAAAATTTAGCATCCACTCAAAAAAATTCTAAAAAGCAATCCTTTGTTTTTCAGTGATACAATCAAACATACACAAATTCTATAAGATTCAAATGGATATGACATTACAATTCTATGTTTTTTCTATTCCTAGCATGTTTTTAGAATCCCGTGAATTTTTTTTTGCAGGTGAATCCTGTGAATTATAGGGCCCTTACCTACTTCATCCGTTCCTAAATATTTGTCTTTTTAGAGATTTTAAATAGACTACCACATACTGATGTATATGGATATATTTTAGAGTGTAGATTCAGTTATTTTGCTCCGTATATAGACACTTGTTGAAATCTCTAGAAAGACAAATACTCCGTATTTAGGAACGGAGGGAGTAGAAGATATTTAGTAGCTATCGTTGGAGCAAGAAGACGACTGTTCCAAGTAATACTAGGATGTCACACTTCTACTGTTCCCGCAGGTCACATCCCTTTCATCAGCTGCCCATCCCACCGTCCATTTTCTCGATCGGACGACGCAACGACAGCAACAAAAATCCCCAAGAGACCCTAAAGAAAATCCCAAGAGTGCGCGAAAAATCTGACCCGAGAAAGAAAGGGAGAGGCGCAACACGAAAAGAGAACTGAAACGCTGCAATAAATAAAGCCACTACCGCTCTTATTTTTTCTTTCTCCGGAGAGAAATAAAGCAACTAGTGCTACTGCAAGAGGGAGGGAGAGACACCGAGGTGTGAGAGGCAGGTGGAGCTGCAACAGTTTGCCACATCTCCCTCCCTTGCATGCCGATCGCCTCCAAGCTCCTCTACTTCCAGCGCCGCCCCTCGCCGGCGCCGCCGGAGCCCCCCGACCCGCGCCGCCGGCCCTGCCGCGGGGCGAGCGCCTCCGCTCCCCGCCGCCAGCGCAGCTCGGCCGTCTCTCACCACCACCACCACCACCACCACCATCATCACAAGCCGGTGAGTTCGCGCCGTCTCATCTCCCTCGATCCCCTCCCTACTCTGGCTGAAAGTGGCCTGCGCTCTGTTACGTTTTTCTCTTTCTGGTTTTGTTTCTGTCTAGAGCTTCAGTTGCCGCGAATTGCGGGGGCTTGTTTTTGCGAGTCCGGATGTTAAGGGTTGAGGCAGCAATTCAGGGGTGCGTTTGGATGCGCGTCCGCGGAAAAATATCGAGACGTTTGTTTGACAAACTAGATAGTGCAATAGGGTGTGGGGAGGGACGCCATGGGGTTAGAGCAGTTACAGCTAGTCAAAATTCAAGAACAAGGTGGGTAAAATTCATATTGCTAGTACTTTATACATGGACGGAGGAGCAAAGCTCTGAGCCCATTTTGCTAGTACTTGATTCAGAAAAGCTATTGTTACCATACTAGATTTTGTATTTTAGATAAAGGAAGAGATACTAGTACCTATTATTTTAGTGGGACTAACATGAAGACCAAGTAGAATATGTATTATGTAATCTTGGTGTATGTTTGCCGGGATTGGTTGGGAATTGAGATGAACCAGGGTGTGGAACCATGACCATCTGCACTTCTGTTGATGTGTGTACCCTTGGTTCAATACCTGACTGCCTACATGTTTGGCCCACACACAAATTGCTCACTGTATAGGGATGATTGTGTTGCATGTAGCTTTTGTTAGTTTGTTCATGAGTGTTCTTTTATTTAGTTTTGCAACGAAGGGACAGTCTCGTATTTCCTCATATACATTCACAAAACAGGCTGCAGATGTTTTTAGCAAATCTCAGCTGGTACCAGAAAATTTGTGCAGTCTTTTTCCAAAGTATATATAGGTAACCAGTTTTAGAATTTAGGGGGTTCGTGTATTTAACTGAGAACCATACTTTTATAGTAAGTGTTGTCATAGAACCAGCATATACTGGAATATTCTTTCCTAGAAAATGAGGCTCTACTAATCTATTGTGGAAAGTTCAGTGTGTGCATGACAATGATAATTCTTTTGAACAGCTATTCCGTAACATGGATGAGTTGCAGGCTTTGGTAGAATGATTACGCCACAGCTTTAAGTGGCCGAAATCATTGTGGGAACCACAAAGTGCTAATCTCTGTGATTGCTTACCGTCTGAATGTTTATTTTCAGAAGGAGCAGCCATTTGTCTAGTGAGTGTTATTATGTCAAATATTCCTCATGTCTGATCGATTTCTACCAAAATACTTGCTAGAATTCCGATAATCGAGCAAATACAGTTTTGAAACATATCTCAGTTACTCCCTCCTTCCACCTATATAGGGCCTAATGCGTTTTTCGAGGCTAACTTTGACCAAATCTTGGAACAATAATATATGACACGCAACTTACACAAAGCATACTGTCAAATTCATATGTGAAAGGAGCTTGCAATGCTATAATTTTCACGTTATAAATCTCATATAGTATTAATCTTGTCAATAGTCAAAGACGGTCTTAAAAAATGCATTAGGCCCTATATAAATGGAAGGAGGGAGTATGAGCAGATGAACTCTTGACCCTTATCGCGGGCTTGTAGCCTAAGGAAAGTTAGTTAAATATGCGTAGAATCTCCTATTGATGTCATCAGCTGGCCGTTATTTCTTATGTGTCATCGAGCTATTTCCAGGCATGCATCTAACCACTTTTGGCGGAGAATAGTTTCTAACATCTGTTATCTTAAAAAAAATCAGGTTCAGGACCTTGTTCCAGCAAACCAAAGAGATGGTGCTAAGCTTATGGGATGTGCTGGAAACAAACTAGAACATATAGGGGTCGCATGCTCCAGCTCAAGGCTAAACCGCAGTGTGTCGGATCATGGACGGCTCCCTGATGCTGTTCAACAGGCTAGGGAAAGGCTTCTTCAGAGGCTTAATAGTGTGGACTTGTCAGGAAGGAGGTCCGCAACAATAATCATCACATTGTTTTTTCATTGCAGAGTTTAATTTATATTCGATTTACGCATGTTTGACCATTGTTTCAGGGAAAACACTTCGTGCTCCGAAACCATTTGGGCTGGAGTAGTAACTCATCCTGCTGACATTGGTGTCTCCAACTTGTCCGATAGCGAACTTGGTAGCCTAACCAGTTACTTCCAATCCAGTGTATCCATCACCACCTACAACGAAGTTCAAGAAACATTCCCTGAGCCTTTCAGCACCGTGGATAAGTGTATGCCTGTCACCCCGTGCACCGAACCGATCCCTGTGCTACAAGAAACGGCTTGCGAAGACGTGGAAGAAGGCGAAAACACCGGGCCTTCACTGGAGTGCTCGATATGCTTGGAGAGGTGCGGCGAGGCAGACGGGCTTATGCAGCTGCGCTGCAAGCATGTCTTCCACTCGGCGTGCCTGGAGCGGTGGCTTCGATCCCACGGCGACTGCCCCTACTGCAGGGGCAGTGTGCTCCTGACGTCGGATGAATGAGAAAACAGAGGATGACACCTAAAATGTGTTGCAGCTTAACCTGTTCTACCAAGGACCTTTGAGTTTGTTATAATTAATTAGTGAGGCGATGACACTGTGCGGTGTTGCAGTGCGCGGCTTGAGCGATGAGATGCTACAACTGGCTGTTTATCTCTGTACAACTACGGATCATGAGATTAGAAGCAGTAAGATAGCTGCTGTTCCATGAAGCCTTTGTTCTCTGCAGTGTGTATAATGATGTTGTATTACTACTCATTTAGCTGAACTACTTACTATTTACACTGAACTTTCGTTTCCTCCACCCACAAGGTTCTACATGAACACCAAATTAGCTTAAGATTGCAAGTACTAGGTGGATTGGCACGCTCCGCGTGAATCACCACAAATAAGGGAAGTAGGGGAGCTTGCTAGAGAGGCGTCAGCTGTGTATCTTGCCGGCTGGCGCCCGACCCGGCAGTTTTTTTTTTCAATCATGCAGAAGAGTTGCATGTATACCCAAGCATCTATTCAGGCAAGGTTTTCGCGCTGAGGTTTAGCCACTTGTGTGAAAGAGACCTATGGTGAATTATGCTTGTGACACGTGCTATTAGTTTGGTACCTGGCGGGGTAGAACTGCCTTGTGGATTCAGGGTTTTGTTTCAAAAAATTTGAACGGGTGTGGCGTTCGGTTTGGTTGGCTTAGCGTTTTTTGATTGCATGTGAGGCAGCGTCGCTGTCACGCTTCCCTTCTTCGGTGCTTCTTTCTATTTGAATTAATCGATCTGTCCCTTTCTATCCCCGACCCTGTGGTTTTCCTATTTGAATTAATCGATATGTCCCTTTCTATTCCTGATGTTGTGGTTTGCGTGCATGCCGCTGTCACCTGTTGGTCCGGCCGGTGTTTTTTCATGTAATTATCGATGCCGCTTTGGTTGGCCTTTCTAGAGTGTGTTGATTTTTTCCGGTAGGTGCCGATTTTTCATGTGTTTTTGTACCGCTTTGATCGTCTGATCTAGAGACGCCGTCGTTGCTAATTGGTGCCGCTTCAAGCGTTCAATCTAGAGTCCTCGCGGCAGACGTCCCGTGTTCGTTTTCGTTTTCTCTTTCTGCCTTTCGTGGGTTATAAATAGGTCTTTGCTTTCTCTCGGCTGCGTGGGTTGCGATTGGCCGGCGTGGTGTTTCAGGCCGTTCTGCTGCTTTGTTCGGTGTATCTGGTCGGCCTCGCTTCGATCGTTCAATCTAGAGGCGTCGCCGCCGCGGACGGCAGAGGCATGATCCTGGTCGGACCCTTCGTCTTCAACGTCGGGGACGTGGGTGAGGAAGACGTCGGTGCCGCGGACGGTGGCGGTGTGTGTGGTCTGGATCGGACTGTTGGTTTTGATCTGACGGCTTAAACAGACCAGTTAGATCTATTAGTTTAACAGAAAAAAAGGAGAAAGATAACGTTAATGAAAAGGCCCCACGCACCAACGTACGTGAGGTTTTTATCTCAACTAAGGCGCCCTGATCGGGGGCACCCAAACCAACTGATGGTTTAGGTCCCCTGTCGCCAGCCCTACATAAAAGGGAACGGGAGAGGGTTGGCAGCCTGCGCGATCACAATTCTCGTACGGTTTCACTCCCCTCCCGATATTCTCTCACCCCATCCGATCAGGGGGAGCGCTGCAGCGACGGGAAGACCTACTCCAGCCGCCGCTCCCGTCCCCGGGCAGTGCCGGTGGCGTCCTGAGGGCATCAGGACGTTGAGGAGGACTTCTACCTCGACTACATCACCTCTGCATCAAGCCTGCACCAAGCAGGCGATCATGTCCACTGCCGTGACACGTAATGATCCCCTAAACCCTTCTCTGTTCATGTTTTAGGTGTTCTAGATGCAATCTGTTCCTGCTAATAGCATCCCAGAGATGCATAATTTTTCCAACAATGGTATCAGTCGCCAGATATGATTGCTTTTAGATCCCTATATCATGTTCAGTAAACCAATCTCAAGTTTAGGCCCTCTGTAGATCAAGTTTGATTGCTACTGTTTTTTGATGTTGATGTCAATTGCCCACTGTTGATGATGTTTTAATTCCAATTTGCTACGGATCAGTAGTGCCACCTAAGTTCATCAATTCTAATTAATCTAAGTTAAGATCTAATGCTCACCTTCATGTTAAGTTGATTAAAATTCATCATGTTTAAGTCCTGTTTCCGTATGCATTATCAACACACAAGGCAGAGGGATACACGCACGTCAACAGTAGGAACCCCTCATGTTTAAGAACCCTAGATCTTTTCCCCAATTCGTAAGAACCCTAATTCTGCAATTAGGACTATTTTCCCCCAAATCAAGCACTGATGAAAACGAATTGGAGAAGAAATGAGGAGAATCCTCACCTAATGCGTTGCGTAGCCGCCTCTTCCCTTCGGGGCCCGCATCGCGTCCACCGCGGTGCGAGGGCGGAGACGTCGTGATGCCGCCGTCCTCGGGACGACGCGCGAAAAGAACTTGAGCCGCTGCCGCCGTGCTTATGGACGAACGCCAGCTCGGCCTTGTGGTCGTGCTCGCCGCCGTCACCCCGAAATGGAATCCCGGGCGAGCATACCCCGCCCCTCGCGCGCGGCGTCAGCAGCCACGCTTGACGGAGGAGCGCGCCGGACTAAGTCCGCGGCACGCTGCTCCGGCGAGCGCAGCCGCAGCGCCGCCTTGGCCGGTGCGCCTCGGGCCGCCGTTGTCCGCCGTCGCCGCCCTCTGTAGCGATAAACGCGGGGGCGGAGGGGTCAGGGGAGAAAGTGACTAGGGTTAGGCCGGTCAGCATTTTTGTTCGGGCTCCAAGCCGCGCCGGCCGTCCCATTCGATCGAGCGGCTCACAGCGACGCGGAGCACCGCTTCGGGCCTTCGGGGGTTTAACGGGCCATATCCGGCCGCGGGCTTCAGCCCAGATTGTCTCAGTCCAGCCAAAAAAAAAATACGCTACTGGACTGATCCGCATTTCGCACAGCCGTGGGTTTTCTTGGGCCAAAATCACTGTCGCCATTTTTTCTGTTTTTCCAGTGCGTTTAAGTTAATAGTTATTATGTTTTTGCACTGTTTAAAAAAATGCATAAAAATATAATGAACACATTATTATTCTGGGTAAAATTGAACCAACGAGATATTTTATTCAGGATTTATTATGTGTTTTGCATGATGAACTTATTTAAGCATCAAATAATGATATTGTTTTTTTATGTTGATGCTTAAATTAATAATGACATGACCCTAATTTTATTTCGGACCAACGTTGTTTTATTATTATGAGTCATCACTTATGATATTTTAATTCCATGTTTTTTCTGCCCAACGGTGTTTTGACATGGAGTTGAAATTAAATACTTGGCATGTTTGTTTATTTACCAACGTAAATTTATAATCATGCAAGTTTACTTATGAACTTTTATGATGATTTCAGCTTCCGCTCCATTCCGGTCCGACACGATCGAACCACTTACGGGGAGTAACTTTCCTCGTTGGAAGTCCCAAGTCGAATTATGTTTGGGTTGTAATGAATTTGACTATGCCTTGAGGGAAGAAAAACCTGTGGCACCTGTGGCAGGTGTCACAGGGTATGCAGAACTCAAGGAGTATGATGTTAAGATGGAAAAGTGGAATAAGTCCAACCATATTGCGCTTCTCATCATGAAAGCGACAATATTGCCGGACATTTCTGAAGCACTCCCTAAGAAAGATACTGCTAAAGATTTCCTCACTGAAATGGAGGAGCAATTTAAAGGCTCCGACAAAGTGTATGCTCATGAGCTTTTTGCTAAACTTCTTCAGAAATACACTATTGATGGAAATGTTAGGCAGCACATATTGAGGGTGGTAAATGCTTTCACCAAGCTTAAGGCTTTGGAGTGTTCTTTAAGTGAAGCCCTTCTTGTCATAATTATTCTTGAGTCTCTTCCTGAAGAGTTTGAACAATTTAAGGTCAACTATAACTCTCTAAAGGAAAAATGGCCACTCTCTGAGATGACCGCAAGGATCGTCCAGGAGGAAGAAAGGATCATGAGGCAGAAAAAAGACCATGTCTTTCATGTTGGCTCTAACAAGAGAAAGCATGACGGACAAGGTTTCCCTAAGCCTCAGAAAAGGCAAGTCAAGAAAGAAGGCACTAAGCCATTCAACCCCAAGGCATTCAAGGGTAAAGAAGCCGGTGGTTCTTCTTCTGCTCCTAGCAGCTCCACTGCTGGAGAAAATGCTTGTAACTTCTGCAAAGAAGAGGGACACTATCAAAGGGACTGCCCAGGCTTTCTAAAATGGATGAACAAAAGAGGTATTGATGAAATTACTTTTGTAGATGAATCACTTTATGTTGATTTTTCAATAAAGTCATGGTGGATTGATTCAGGGGCAACCACTCATGTTGCTAACTCTATGCAGGGATTCGATACGATCCAAACCATAAGAGGAGGAACAAGAAAGCTTAAGGTTGCGAACGGAGTTGAGGCCGATGTTGAAGCTGTGGGATCTCTCACGTTGGAGCTACACACTGGCCACACTCTTAGATTGAATAATGTTATTTATGTGCCTACCTTAAGTAGGAATTTGATTTCAGTTTCTCGTTTAGATGATGATATGTATGAGTGCCATTTTGGCAAGAAACAATTTGCTTTGATCAAATGTAATAAGAATGTAGGCATCGGTGTTAGACGAGGCCAACTATACATGTTATCTCTTCATAATGATTCAGTTATGCATGTGAGTGATGAAATTAATGTTGAGAAGAAATGGAAAGGAGTAAGTAATTCTTCGAAATTGTGGCATTGTCGTTTGGGCCACATTTCGAGGGGGAGAATGGAACGCTTAGTTAAAAATGAAATACTCCTCCCATTAGACTTCTCAGATGCAGACAAATGTGTCGACTGCATTAAAGGAAAATTTGCAAAAACAATTAAGAAAGGAGCAGTTAGAGCCACAAGGGTTTTAGAATTAATTCACACCGACATATGTGGACCCCTTAATATTAAGTCTGTAGATGGTTTTGATTCGTTCATTA